ATAAAGTAGTACCGATTAGGAGGGAAGATAAATAATAATTTAATGCTGTTGATCTCAGGTTTTCTCAGTGATGTCACATGAATGGAAGCAACGCCATATCACCATGGAAAATTCGCAAGATCTCTGAAGTTTCTCTCCCTTCCTTTGAAAGCGGCAGGCGTCGAGTGAACAAGTTAACATATAACAAAAACAGCCATCAGATTTGCTCATAATGTCAAGCCCCGATGACGCTAGATAAAATCGTAGGTATATGGTAGGTAAAATGTATGCATAAAAAGCTAAGCATAAAGTCAGCTTCCCAGGTCGAGTTCGTTGTCGAGACGGGATGACGAGGAAAACTATGCTCATCATAACTATTTCTCCAAAATCAGAGGATTCACGGCCGAGTACAGATCGGTCCAACAGGGATGCGGAGACGGCTTGGAGTTCGAGAATGCCTGCTACATCTTCATTGACGAGCCGACGACGGCGACCGGTGCCCAACGCGAGTGCGAGGCCGTCGAGGCCAACCTCACCAGCATCCACAGCGACGCGGAGAACTTCTTCATCGGTCTGTTGAAATCACGGGCTTTCGAATGGCAGCCGGGAGTCGTTGGAAGAATCTTTCAAATAACGTTGGCCGCTGTTGAAGAACATTGAGAATCGCCGTGGACGGCTGAAAAAAATATCATCGTAGGAAATGAAATTCCAAGAACGATGAGAAACTTTCCACCAGTTAAAAAAAAAAAAAAAGAAATTATCTGCTGAATTCTTGCTCTCTCCAGATGATTTCCTGGGCAATCCAAATTTGTTATTTTCTTCATTTTAATTTTTTGCATTGGACTACATCCCTCCGCCATTTCATTTCGTAATTTTTTCTGCAGGAGTTCCTTCGGCCGATTTTTTTTTTGCAAGAACTTGTAAACTGTTTTCACCCAATGCTTTCTTCTCGTTTTGTCAATTACGGAAATATCCTATAGGAAACCTATAGTTAACCTTGGGTAAGGGGAGGGGACTTTTGTGTCCTTTGAGAAATGCTACAACACAATATTTCCATATAGTGGCCAAGAAGGGAACTTCAAACGGAACCCTATAGGCCTATAGAGTTCCGTATAAGCCCTATAGGGAACCCTATAGGTTCTATAGGGGGCTTTATAGGTTCTATAGGGAACTCTATAGGTCCCAAACTGAACTCTATGGGGCCTATAGGAACCTATAGGATTCCTTTAGGTTCCTATAGGATTCTTATATATTCCTAGAGAAATATATAGGAATCCGATAAGACATTTTCGTAAGGGGTGTCACGCGTGCATGCTATTATCTGGAGAAAAAAAAAGCGTATCCTCTTATCCTCCAATATCTGATGAAAGGACAAAATCGGCAAATATAAACCACCAAAATCGACAGTCAGTAATAAGGTTTGGATGCCGACGATAAGCAGTCCCAAACTTGGGCTTAGGAGTGTACATTTTAACGTCGACAGTGTGAAACCAAGAATAGTCCAACCCCGTGAAAGTTGTCATTTCTGCAATAAAATTGGGAAAACTAAAATCAATGTGGCCCCTTATTGTCAACAATGCTGCATACTGTTATCCTTTGTTCATCCTAGCCAGATCTGACAGTTTCCCATTGAAATCAGAAACAAGTTTATGGAGAAAAAAAGAAGCTTTGCATGGTATTGTGTAGGGAAAGATACGAACTGCCTCGTTAAAATACAGCTATAGCTTGTCTTCCACCCAAATGTTGCGTAAGATTTTGTTAAACATATGCAGGGTCCCCCCACCCTGCATATGTTTAACATAATCTTCCCACCAGGAAGCCCAAAAGTCCACCAGGAGAATTTCGTTGGTGATTGTCTCCGTGGTGGTTCGGATCCGAGTCGTGCATAGGGACCCAGCGATTTTGGCTGTAGCCATATCCTTGTAGATTCGAGCCCACGCGAAGAGGTACCTATTTTTAAGTGGATGAAGGAAGAATTGAAGGATCCTGGTTAAAAAAATTCAGTCGGACTGTCCATGAAAGCAAATTATATTTTACAAGGAAACATATCATTAATATATTGTCCCAGAACAGCCATAAAAAGTGTTCTCCAATAGGAAACCAATGGTATTCCCATTCGAATGCGTATCAACTTTCTTATTTGTGTTGAATTGCACAGATAGCTGTCTGACCCATCGGCACTTTTCTGATCGGATAATCGTTTAAATTAACTGTTTTTTTTTTCTCTAATTAGGTGCAAATGCTCCATCGACACCTCTGTGGATCGGACTCCGAAGAATAGGCGTGGATTGGGAATGGACAGACGGAAGCCCCTACGACTACGATAATTTCAACCCCGAATTCCTCCGAGGAGATGATTACGTTTACATGTGGGTGGATCAGTGGGCGAACGACAACTGCAGCAGCGTGAGACCCTTCGTCTGCCGCTTTCGGAGCGAGGACGGGGACTGCCCGAATCCTTGGATCGAAGAAGACTTCAATTGCTACCTCCTCGTGGACACGAGTCTCGAGTTCCAGTCGGCCGTCGAGTATTGCGAGGAGACGGACCCGCCGTCCACGCTCTTCACGCTCGACGGGGATATGGACTATAACAATGTCGTTGCTAATATCTTCAATAAGGAGGGCAGAATGAATATCGTGGAGTTCTGGATCGGATTTCAGGGGAATGGCTCGCTCGCTTGGAACTGGATCGACAACTCGACGTCCAGTGTTGAAAACTGGGCGGCAGGTTTTCCCAAGGACGATCCTGGCAAAGATTGCGCCTATGCCTTCCCCAATACTTGGGACGATTATCCCAACAATCATCGCTTTTCTTTTGCTTGCAAGAAACCTCTACTTTTGTTGTAATCAAGGTCGGAAAGTATGCCCGATGGCTATTTTTGTTTCATGGTGCATGATCTCCTTCAATTCATGAACTTCAGCAATAAAACGAGGGAAGCAAAACGCACTTGTGTACTCATTTTCTTGTCAATAGTTTCCACCCGTAATGAGGCTAGCCGTCACGCCGGGAACATGTCGACTTGCCTTGGTACAGAATTCGTTCGGTTTTTCCTTTAAGTTCCGGCTAAAAATCAGAAAATCTAACGACTGAGGAGCGCCACTGCCACTTAACTATTGCAATCGGAGAGAACCAGTCAAAAGTTTTCCAGAGGGCCATGAATGGGCTTTTAGTTGACTCACACATCGAGCATCGCTTTTCCGGACAGGAATTTCGTTTAAAAAAAATGTTTACCTAATATCTAAAACTGTATTAACTTCTTACTTGTTTTTCACCTTCTTGTGGTTAAGAAGTAAGTACTACTATAGAAAATTCCATGATTTCGCAATTTTTGTGGTGAAGCATTATTTTCTTCCCAAGATTAAAACCCAAGGTTTTCCAAGTCCAATATGGTAATAAGAAAGTGAAATGAGTCGTTGTGCTGGAGAATGAGAAACAAAGAGACAGAATAAGACAAAATCGTCGCCCATTCCCTTCTCGCCTGGAAAAGACGAGTACAGCGCGGCTTTTCAAATACCGGAGTACGTTTTCTGCCATTTCAATAGGGTTTGCCTTCTCTCCTGAAGCAGGACCTACCTCGAACAAAGGAGCATGATAATATTCCTTGTCGCCGAGAACCGTGGCGACATAAAGTTTCGGCCGATAATAAGATTCTTCCATCTTCAGAGCGGTTATCTAGAGAATTTCTGATTCAGTCAACTTTTTCATTTTCACTGTTCTCTGCTGGTTTCGATTGCTGTTTCCTAGAGCTCGCTAACCGTTTCAGGTCAAACAACCAAATGAGGACGAATATACTCTACAGGAGGGCATGAGTCTCAATTGTCACTTACAGCAGTTATGGCACCTCATGGAACCCCCCCATTCCCGTAACCCTTTGCGAGGTGAGGGCTCCAAACACCAGATGTGGCGAAATGTGTGGGAAGTGGAAATCTGGAATGGTGCTAGGGCAAGCTTCATTAAGTGGGATTCCTTTGTGCCTTTAACGGTAGCAATACCATCATGGAGGGAGGGAGGGGTCTGAGAGGCCCACTCCTTAAATAAAGAAAAGTTGCAGACAAATATAGAAAGTAGTTCATGCAGATAATTCATAAAAGTGTCAAGGAAAAGTACAATTTCTTTCAAAATTACAAAATAGTAACAGCAATTATGAAACTTTAGTTGTGCGCCTCGCAGAGGCAAAGAGAGGGTGAACTGAATTCACCCCCCCCTATCGAATTCCTCGGGTAAACGCAGCTCGTGTCATTTCGTAAAAGGCATAAATATGTGTGAAGACTACTTCCAGTACCTGTTGAATGGGATCACTGATCATTTTACGCTCATACAGTATAAGAAAATACGCCAAATCGATCTAGGTCTTGAGCAACGCTTTGGGGAAAAGCACAAAGCATTGCAGTCCAGTTTCAGTTGCACCTGCAGAACATTGCAGGTTTTTTGCCGTTTATAAGACATTTAAGATATAGGGCATTTAATATTCATAATCTGCTTTTACATCAGACAATCTTTTTTATGAGTCAGTCTAGCGAAGAAGCGGATAATGAAAAGTCCTCAGCTCCCTCCTTTGCACATGGCGACGAAAACTAAAAAAAAAAAAATTATGGAGACTGTCACAACAGCCAGAGATCTTATGGTTTGCCTCAATGTAATTGCTCCAATGCATGCACCTGGTCTTTTTTTAAATTCCATTATGCCACTCAAACATGGGGGAAGAGGTACTTCAAGGGATTCTTCGATTGAGGAAATAATGCAAACAGTTTTCGGACAAATGCATGTACAGATATTCCTCGATGTGGAAAATGCGTGAGAGTGAATGCAGCTGTCATGAAATGTTGGGAAATCCAGGCGAGAAAATACAGAGGGAAGCAAATCGGGATTCCGAGAATTCACTGCGGTTTGTCCCTCTTCCACGATAGTTCACCAAAACGTCATTTAAAAAAAAAAGACAACATCCGGAAAGATGTTTATTTTATCTCAGAATACCAGATGGTAGATTTCCGATCGCACACTCCTAGCACACAGACAGAATCATTTCGGGAAGGCGAAGAAAAGGAAGATGGCAGCACGAGTGTTCATTGCCAGCCTGTTGCTACTGGTCTTGTTGCAGTGGTCACCGGTGGATGGCCAGTGTGGCGGGAACTTCACGGAGCCAACGGGAAACTTCTCATCCCCCAATTACCCTGACGAATACCCAAACAACATTTTATGCGACTATTTCATCGATGTGGAACCAGGAAACGGCATCGAACTCACGTTCGTCGATTTCGAACTCGAGGATTGCCCTTGGGACCACGTAACGGTCCACGTCTCAACGGGAGTAGAGACCTATTGCGGAGCGTTGGGATCCGTCGGCCCGATCCTCGAGCCATCTTCTTCCCTTCGCATCACATTCGAGACGGACGACAGCAACACTTTCAGGTGAGAGAGGCGCATATGGTCTAACCTGGAGAAATTTCCTACGTCTACATTGCCTGTTTTACGCTGGTTCATTAATCTCGTGCGGCAATCCGCTTGTCAAAACGTCGGAGAGGGGCTCGAAGTCCATCAGCGATGGACCTCGGTGTTTCAGGCACTCCTTAGACATCTTTCCAAGGTTTCTAAAGTCATTCACACGTGATGCCAGCCCCCTCCCCCAAGAGCGGAACACCACTTTTTGGCGGAGGGGTCAAAGGGAAATCACCCTCTACCCTCATGGGAGAGGAAGACTGATGACATTTAATGATCCCTTTCAGCATTAAAATCGTATCAATGTTGGATCAGATAGACTACACCTTCAAGTATAATCCAGCAGCATTCTCATCAGAGATTAAGTCCCCCGGGTCGAGTTCGTCCCCAAAACAACAGGAAAAGAAAGATCGCGCTCATCCTCCCTATTACGTTCCTGAAATCAGAGGATTCTCGGCCGAGTACCGGTCGATCCCAGCGGGATGCGGCGACGACCTCGAGCACGGAGGAGCCTGCTATCGCTTCGCGGACGAACCTCGGACGGCACTGGAAGCATCGCGCGAGTGCGAAGGCGTCGGGGCCAGCCTCGCCAGCATCCACAGCGACGAGGAAAACGCATTCATCGGTATGGTGAAACCTTCTCCATCGGCCGGGTTTCGACTTTGTCGCCGATTCTCAGTTCACCGAATCATGGCGAGGAAGAATGGCAGAATTTTGTTTTTTCTTAAATCCACTCGGTCGTTCATCGTTGTCTGCATACAGTCCTTCTTTTGACTAACAGACGAGGGAACTAGTACAAATGATAGATTTATGAGAAAAAAAAAACAGTTTTCAATTCAATTTCTCGGAATTTTTTTAAACAATAACTCACGGCCTTCTGCATTCGTGTTTCCAATCAATTAGTTGAAATGTAGGTTCCGCCTATAATGAATAAGAAAAAAAATCAATTAATGACTGGAGATCACCTCTTTTCTGACGTGTGATTTTCGCCTCCCTGGCAAATGGTACCCAAAACGAGGCCAAGCGTTGCAATGGGCTTGGGCGCTCTCAAGTCAAAATCAATAGAGATTCCAAGTTGACCACTCAGTTTTTTCTGGAATGAATAGTGAATTTCTTTCATTTCAGGTGCAAACGCTCCATCGTCGCCGCTGTGGATTGGGCTGCGAAAGCAAGGCTCGGATTGGGGATGGACGGACGGAAGTCCCTACGACTACGAAAACTTCAATCCCAACTTTCTCTCCGGGGACGAATTTGCTTACATGTGGATGGATCGGTGGGGGAACGACGAGTGTCGACGGGGCAGGGCGTTCGTGTGTCGGCTTCGGAGCGAGGACGGGGAGGACTGCCCGGATTCTTGGATCCACGTGGGCGAGGATTGCTACCTCGTCGTGGACTCGAGTCGAGAGTTCCAGGCGGCCGTCGAGTTCTGTCGAGAGGCGATGCCGCGGTCAGCGCTCTTCACGGTGGCCGAGGGAGTCAACTACGACGACGTCGTGGCTTTGGTCTTCAACGGTCAGGGGGGGAAGGAGGTCGCGGAGTTCTGGATCGGTCTGAAGAGGGATGACGCGCTCGCTTGGAACTGGATCGACAACTCGACGTCCAGTGTTGAGAACTGGTCGGCGGGGTTTCCCGTAGACGATCCGGAGAAAGATTGCGCCTATGCCTTCCCCAATACCTGGGACGATTATCCCAATAACCATCTCTTTCCTTTCGTTTGCAAGAGAACCCTCCAGATCCGTGATTAATGTCTTAACGTGTGCCTCGTGCCATCTTTCTTTTTTATGCTCTTTTAAGTTCTTTTCCATGTTATGAAGCTTTGACAAACATGAGAGAGAGGTGCAAAGTGAGCTTTCCTTCCATTTCAATAATTTTTTTTCTACCGGAACTGTGACGAATGGTATCATCTTCAAATGTCCGCTTTTTTTCGGCCCTCGTTCACGCTGCTCTCGGTTTCTTCTAATCCCAGCATTCATTTCTGTGAAAATAAATAAAAATAAGGAATAATAAAAAATGACCTGGAATCTCCCAGCTTGGGAAAAAAAAGGGTAGCACATATCGTTAAATCTCTTCAAGCAGGAAGTATAATACGAAAATTTCAGGCTATGTTATTTAAACCGGAAAGTCAATTTTGACAAGGGCTGCAAAAAAATTCACATTTTACTGTAAACGAGAAAAACGGAATGCAAGCCAAGGACGATCGGAGTGCCCCTATGGACAGACAGTCTCCTGCATGGATTGAAAAGGAGCCAGGAAGGAATCTTCCCCCTTTCGCGGAATGGCGAGCGTCCTGGTGCTTTCCGTGAGATGGGATCTGGAGGACAGAATTCCTGCGACATGAAGTCACTCGATACGGCCGACTATTGGAGGTCTTGTCCTCAGCTCTATGGAAAAAGAGGTGTCGAAAATGTAATCTTGATTTCTCCTCAGAGCGAATAACACACGGCGTACAATGATACCGAATGGAGGAAAGGAAACCGACCAATCGTGATTGAGACAGCGGCTGATAGTCTTCGCATGGGTGGGAGACACGCAATTTCAAAAACAGGAAATTTGACAACTTTTCCTCATATGATCTCTTTCACGGAATAACAGATGCCAGGAGGCCTCGGTTATGAGTTGGGAGCGGATTTTTATGCGCTAATAAGTCCTAAAATATGCACATACATATGCGTGTAAAAATGCCCAAACTATGCATGAAAAATGCACGAATATGGGAAAATATGCAAAACTCTCATTTTTTTATGGAGCACGAAATTTTCAGCAAGAACTTCAATGTACATTACATGCCTCTACTGGGTAGAGCTGGTCTATTCTCGTCATAGACAGATTTTTGCGAAGCCAGGAACTCGCCAATGGAGGGGTTAAGGGAAACGACGGAGGACTAGAATTTCCGACTTAACTTCTCGAGAGAAGGATAGAGGAGCGATTTAGAGCAGAGTTTTGGGAGCTTTACCACTCCAACCGGCGCATAACCGCTGGAAAATGTTCATAGGTTTGCTCATAAAGAAACACCTCCCTGGAAAACTTTTTCTTTGTGAAAATGGGCGAAATATGCATAAATATTCATATACGAGGTGTGGCTATTAAATAACGAGACTGGGCGCCCTGTACGCGGTATAATTCTAGGAGCGGGGAGCACATGTGCGGTGAGTGACTTTGAATCTTCCGGAACCTGACGAGACGAGCCTGGTTTCGTTGACGCTAGTAGTCAGTCTGCTAGCAGCGTTTGACGGGAGAGGTGCGCAATCGTCTTGCCGGAATCATGGCTAATGTAAAAATCGAGCAGCGCATCAATCTCAAATTCCTAGTGAAATTGAAGAAATCGCCGAGTGAGTGTTTGAAACTGTTGCAAGAGGTGCAGAGTGATAATGTGATGTCACGTGCGCGAGTGCTTGAATGGCACAAACGATTTGCCGAGGGACGAGAGAACGTTGAAGATGGCGAACGACCTGGTCGCCCTGTCACGGCAACAGCTAAAAAAAAAA